TTAGTAGCTGAGCACTAAACCATTGCGCCACCAGGGCTCTTTATACTGTATGTATACTATATGTATATTGTGTAAGAAGAGCCTCCAGGTCCATTTTTTCAGCCCAATTCTTCTCATCCTCCTTTTTAAATGAGCCCTAAAGGCTGGACTGAACAAACGATCAGTTTCCCTGTCCTTCTAGGAGGTCACCACGATTCCATGCGGTTGTCAGGAGTCCTGGAGTCTTCAGAAGAGAGAACCCAATCAGTTGCCAGCTGGGAAACTGAGAATTCTCTGAAGGAGCTTGCTTAAAGTCACCTGACGTTACTTTGCCGCAACAAGGGAGTCCTAGGATTTTCAAAGAGAAAAACGGGGTAGCTTCCGGCGCTCAGGTCTCAAATTTGTAAAAGACAGGTCAGCTTATGTTGCTAGTACAAGAACAGTTTGCCTGTAGTGGAGGAGAACTTCTGGCTTAGCATTATCAGATCAAAACAGAGAGAAATCCAGGCAGCTTCAGCTCAGTCAGCAGTGCCTGTGGGGAGGGCCTGAGTGATGTACGCAGAGCAGTGTGACCTGCTTATGGTCATGCTCAAGAAGTGCCCAAGTTGCCCTTGGTGTGGCTGTGAAATAGTAGTCTCGTAAAGAGGAGTGGAGCCTCCCCTAACAATAAGAAGGGAGACAGCGGCCACCTTCTATAAGGTGGCTTTTATTTAAGGACTTCTTCCAGTTCATGAAAGGGAGTTTTAATGACCCTCAAAAAGCAAATGCTCTACCCAATCCCCCCTCCCTCCCACGCCCAGGGCCCTTTAATTCATTAAGGCATTCAAGATAAACTACTCAGAAGACTGGACCACACATGGACAATTCTCCAGCACAAAGAGAAACCTCATATTTCCTTCTGTTTTGTTTTTAAAAAAAAATTTTTTTGGTACTTTACAGGTTTGCTCAGTTAGAATTGATTAATATTATAATCATTAAATAAAAAGAAACCAAAAGAAAAACAAACCTTCATTTTCTAGAAGTTTCTGATGCCCACAGGCCAAAAAAGCAGATTGGCTGATTTCTTCGTAGACTCTTTGGCTGGTCGAATAAGCATTGTGCAGACACCATGCAAATCTTTATGCAGCAGGGTCTCCTTTAGACCAATTCATTCAATTAGGACTACTTAGTTCCAGGAGCCAATTGCCTTGTCTCTCCACCACTGTGTTCCTAAATTACACAATTCTAGGCCCGAAGCTGGTTCCTTAAAAACACAACCTTCCCTCCGGGTGTTTGTTTGCACATCTTTGGGGCTGTTGCCTAGATCAGGCATCATCACTAAGGGGAGTGCAGATAAGTACTCTATACTTCATAATGCACGGCTTTTATTTAGCTTGAGATCAGTGAGAACGCGGGGTGCAGGGGGTGGGTGGTGTGTTAGTGGGTCCACTCTCCAAATCCCCACTCCAATGCACAGCCTGCCAAACTGTGCACACAGACATGACAGGGGATTGTAAAAATGCACCACAGACAATGTGGCTAATGTACCAGGATCCCCTGCAAAGTAGTTCAAGGGAGTATTAGGAAGTGACTAGGGATATCAGAATCTGAACAGAGCGCCCTAAAAGGAAAAGCTTTTTTGAACCTTGTTCTACTTCCTCTGTTTATCCTTTTCTCCAGAGGCAGAGAAAGAGAGAGAGAAGGAAAAAGAAATACTGGACTCTAGCTGTATCCCTAGAATAGACTGTAAGCTGTTCAGGCAGAATTTCTTTGCACAATAGATGAATGAAACATGAACCATACTGCAAAATCAGCAAGACAAGCAAGTACTGTGTATTCAGCTCAAGAGGAGCCTGGACACTTTTCAGAAAGAGCAGGGAATCTGAAGAGTGAGACATTGACTCCTGTTCTGGGTTGACGGTCATAAAATACAAGTTAATTTGTGTTTCACAAGATAGTTCTAAGGATAGATGGGAGTGGAGGCTACCCCTGACCCATCTGGAATCTTAAGAACTACTATTATTCCAGGCTTTTAAAATATCCTGGTCAAAATTCTGGCGGAGAGGTGGGGGAGGCTTTCCTAATAGCAGATATTCTCAAAAAAATCCCGTGGAATCATAGTATTTTTCCTCTCAGATGGGTCTTCAAAATCATCTCACCTAACTTTATACATAAGGACCCAACTCCCAGAGAAATGAAACCAATGGCCTCAGATCATTCTGTTAATTAATGGCAGAGCCAGGAACAAAACCCAAATCTCCAGACTCCTAGGACAGTGGTCATAACACATTCTAATGATCAACCCATTTCTCTAAATTCCAGAGTTTTCCTGTTACTGTGCTCTTTACAAAGGGTGTGGGCAAGTCAGATCTGAGGATCCATTCACACTGAACAAGATGGTGTAAACAAAAATGGTTTTCAGAAGTTCACTTCATTTGGAAGTACAAGAGAGGGGCTGGAGCGTCACTCAGCTGCTTGTTGGGATGATGGTTAAATTTTTTTGTTCTGAGGATAAAATTATAATATGCCACGGTTCAGATGTTATCTTTTGGCCTTTTAATCTGATTTATCTGTCCTTAGCTTGGAAACTGAAGGGAATTCATCTCCAGAGGCATCAACAATGGCCTCTATCCAGGAAGGATCACAAAAATGGTTCTAGGAGTTGGGACAGGTTTGGGGCTGAGGGTGTGTGGGACAGGGGGATGGAACAAAAGCAAGCATGGAATGATAATGCTTCTAAATCTCTGAAATGTAAACAGGACAATTCAGAGTTGAGAGAAAAATATCAGAGGCGGGAATGGATTGCACTTGAGTTTGTGCGTTTGAATTTTGTGAGCAAGTGTTTTACTAAATTCAGGTCAGGCATGCAATACCTGGAAAGAATTTGCTCCCTTCATGCAGTCAAATCTCATGGTGAGGAGTAAGCTTTAAAAATCATTTTAAAACCTTAGAAAGGTTTAGAGAATAAGACACTGATCTCAGAAGGTAGGCTCTGGGAGTCCCCACCTCAGCCACACCTTCTGTCTGCCTGGCTACTAACTCACAGGCCCAATGGGGAACCTCACCACAGTTCAAGTAGTTCTTTTTTTAAAGGGGAATAACAATTTAAATGTCACAAAGTAAGAATGAGATCACTGGAGTCTTGGTTTCTCTATTTCCTGCTCTGCTTTTTTTTTAAAAAGGAGTTAAATGGACTTGAGTTAAATGGACTTCAATCTAGACACTCAAAAGGTATTTCTGAATAAATTAAGTGCTTAAATCCAAAATTTTTACTTCATGAACTTCTACTGTTAGATAAATAAGAGGATTTCATAAATAGCAAAACTGTTCAATAGCTATATGGCTTATTTTTTCTATGACACTGGCTTTTAAAACATTTTACAGAAATAACCCAGCTTCTCATATATAAAGAAATAACCCAAGTTCTTAAGTATTCTCTTATGGATGAGCTAATGTAACTATTGCAAAAATGAGGCAAAACAGAAAATTAATTACAGGTATTATTTACTCAAAATTCTTTTAGCAGTATTGTAGATCTATAATCTTGGTCTATTCTTCTAGATTAAACTCTAATGTGTTTTCTATCTTCTTAAATGAAGAAAAAAAGAAAAAACCACTGAAACTTTGAAAACATGTGATAACATTCTAAAGAAACTGAATCGCTGTTATTACACATTTTTTAAAATCTTTTGCGTCATCTTCTAGAAATGTCTTTGAATGTTAAATCAACGTACAGAAAGATGAAATGACTTTCTCTGAAGAAAGGATAGAATCAAATATGCCATTATAGCTATAGGATCTAAAACAAAAAGTAGTTAGAGTACTGAGTTTGGGGTTTTTCTATGTGTGTTCTTCCCCTCACCCCAAAGAATGTCAAGAATTTGAACTCCCTGTTCTTAAGGTGAAAGGGCATTAACTCAAATCTGTTCATGAAGAAAAGAGGTGGCAAATCCTGAGATATTGGAACTATACAATAAAATCTCCCAAGCTTAATATGGCAATAGGTGAGTATTTCCTTTGGCGCTTCAAAAATAATTAAAAACAACGTCCAAACTGTAGATAATTAGGAGCCAGTAAGATCTCCATTTGTATCTCAGTAATTCTCTACTCCTTTATTTCAACACTTAGCTTTAGAATTAAAATATTTGCTAAGAAAGCAGGGAGGCGATTAACAGAGATTTTAAAATATGTGCCACAGTTACACATTCTGTCAACAGAGTGAAAGGAAACTATACAGCATAAGTTACAAAATGGTTATTTCATGTTTCGCAGACATTCCAATAAACCCTTCACTGTGGTGTTATCCAATCCAACAGTAGAAAAGCAAAACAGAAATGAACTGAAGAGCCAGCCCAGCTCGTTTACATCTTGAAGTGAACCACACGGAATCATCTGCTGCAGTCTTCGCCTGTGAAGCTCAGCGAGGGAGTTGACTCCCATTTCTCCAGCAAAAAGAATGCCTACTCGAGGGACACAAGGAGAGCAGGTTGGGTGAGCTGCAGCTCATGAAGGGCCCACAGACATTACTCCAGCCCCAGGATAAATCCCTCTGGGAGACATGTAGAACTCCAAAGATTCCCAGCTTCCCAAAGGAATAGACATGGACTATCTGGGGTTGGCACAATCTCCTTGTGAATAACTTAACACATTTTTTTTAACTCCTTTTTCTTAAATGAGCTAGAGCTACCAAATTCTATAAGAGCTTGGCCATCACTTTGATACGTATCAATTTGTTGTTTTAAAATATTTTCACTTTATTAATATTATTATTTATTATTATTATTCCAACAGACTGTATTAAGGCAGTGATCACTAACACAGAACACGACAGGAGCTAACATCAGCCAGGCTGTTCTCAGGACCTGGGCCTGCCCGGCCTCAGTCGCTGACATGCATGTTGGTAGCTCATATACTGCTACCCTCATAGCACAGGCTGCAGGGGGAGTGGGTAAAAAGACAGATGCTGCTGTACCCTTAGAAGCTATTTAATAAATATCATCAAAACAACAAAATGGAAAATAAACCCTCCAGAGTACACCACCTTAGGTCAACTGAACGTAATCTAGTTTATTCAACCAAAAATTGAGAGAGAAGGAAAATATTAAAACAAAACCAAAAAAAAAGCAGTTCTTAACAACTAGCAGTAAATAAATTTATACAACAATTCAGTCTGTATAATATGATGAAATAAATCTACATCTTTTCTTATTTTGGTGCTTTGAATTATACATACAAACAACAATTACAGGGACTTGTTCACAAAGCATGTAGGTCTGGAAAAAGGCTATCTGAACCCATCGACGGCAACATGTGAGTGTTAACGCTAATTGCCTGGAACTGATAGTATTTCCTATGCAGAAGCCCACAGCTTTGGATGAATGATTTGCCTACAACTTTTTTTTTTTTCATTTTTTCTTTTTTTTTTTTTCCTCTTAATGCATCAAACAATTGTGGCCAGTAAAAGGAACCAACACTGGCAGTTTGTCCATTTGGATATTAGACCTAGTTTCTTCTTAATTTCCGAACTTTATTTCCCCATATTCCTTAAAATTCTTGGTGTCCTTCATGCCTTTCTTACAGCTACCCAGATGCAATAAAGTCTTCCTCAAATGTACAGTATTTCTTACAATATAAGTTATATGCAATGTTCAGCATTATTTTTTTCACAGCACTAGAGACCCTGTTAAATAGGGAATATGAGTCTGAATGGCTTATTCACAAATGGGATCCAGATTCAGTGGTTGAGAACACAGACACCACAGTGAGCTCCTTTTCCAAAGTGGCAAACATCATTTTGCTTTCTGCCTTCAAAAACATATATCCATCGGTTTTAGGCTTCATGATACTGCTCCTGCAAAAATGCAAGTATAAGGGGTTGGAGGGACTCTCGCTTGGAGACCTTTAAGCATCGAGCAGGGAATCTAACCCATGGCGGTGACCATACTGGAAGGATGGTGAGGTCCAAAGGAGAGGCTGGACGGTGGGTGCATCGGTGTTGGAGTGGTCAGCATGTGGCTGGAGTGGCTGAAAGGTGAAATGTGGCTGAGGGAAGACATGTGTCTGGAGAGGGCGGCTGGGTTAAACGAGCTGCTCTTGGGGAAGTCCTCCAGCGTGTCATGCACCTTTTTGCACTTTTTGGATTTGCTAGACATTTTTCGGTTTCTGGTCTGGATTCCTTCCTTCTTCATAGTCAAGGGTCTGTTAATCTAAACAAAGATCAATTTTTTTTTTTTTTTTTACTTTTTTCGCTAACTCTGAAATGGCACAGGTTTCACACACCACCACAGGTTCCTCCTACAGCCCCAGATCAGGGATCTGCTTTCAGTCAGCCCCTTCCTCCCATCTTTTCCTGTCTCCTTCCCAGGGACCCCAACAACTGTGGTCTGGTACAGACTAGGTCTGGCTAGGGTGTAACTGTCAGCTTCTACCAGTTTCAGAGATCAAGAGACCATAGGTGAGGTGTCCCAAGTAGAGTTTATTAATTCTGTTCATGAGTATCAACAATTTGGAGGAAAATTTTCCTCAGGGATCTTTGCATTTCCAAACCATATTTTAGAGATCTACCCAGTATGGTTTTATTTCTATGGTAATTAAAAGACAACAACTTTTCTTATTTCATCAGAGTTTCCTTAAAATATTTCATGAGAATGGAAGCAATTAAGGAATCTTCAAGAGGGAAACAACATTTTGCCAACCCTCTGACAAATCTGTTTTAAGAACTTTAAAGCACCGAGGTTATCTGAAGTACTTACATCTACCTGCCTTGGAGAAACTGGGATTGTACCAATCTTAAAAGTAATTTTTGGTTGCCTCTCTTTTACTTGACCTTTTCATAATGAGAGGTGCCATAAATCTTCCCCTGGAATTCATATGTTCTGGGATCTTTCCTAAAGGTAATCTCTTGCCCGTATCCCTCCAATAGCAACTGCAATGATTGAATGTTGCTATTTCTACCTACTTCTACCTACCTACTTCTAACTAGAAAAACACCTAAACAACCAATCAACAAATATTTAATAACTACTTACTGCGTGCAAAGCACTGCGCTAGCAGGAAAGTACACTCATCCTAAAAATTAAAGGCCAAGAATGAACTAGAATGAAGAGACAGAGGCAAGACACTGCTCTAAAGATTACACTAGACTTCAGTCTCTGTGACAGCATACCATCTCTCTCTTCTTGATAAAACTTCTTTTTTCTCTCTCTCTCTCTTTTTTTTTTTAATGCATTTGCTTTGGGGACCCAGAATCAAGAAGGGGCTTTACAAAGCAAACAGCAGCTACTATCCACATGGAGTCAGAATCAGATTAACCTCAATAACAGACATCTGCCCCATATAGCAAACTGCACATCTGGCCATGTTCTCGGAGAAATGTGGCAAAGAAACACCAGGGGTGAATGTCAGAGTCATTCCTGACTTGACTCCCTCGGGAGAAAACATTCTCTTCCACAGGGTCCTCAAAGGTAGAGAAAGAGACTCCTATGGCTCCAAAAGCTAGGAAATGACAATTAAGGAAGAGAGACTCCAGATGGCCAAGAGGGACCAGACTGCTGACAATCCTTCTGGGAGCAGCACACAGACAGCTTCCTGGAGCTAAGCTGGGAGAGGATAAACTGGGGAGAAGGGACTTACAGCCAGACACTGGAGCTGAGACCTTATTTCCCTCTGTGCCACAAAGGCAACGTGAGCAAGTGACAGCAGAACAGCTAAAAGGTCACTGCCCAAAGAGCATCTCAGGGATCCTTCTTCAAAGTTATAATCAAGATAAAGATGCAGCCTACAGAGATGATGGGAATCTACTGTCATATCAAATCTTCACCAAGATAATGTCCAGATACACAGCCCTTTATGCTGTTATCTAGATATACATAGCCAGATATCTAAATATAATATCTAGTTACACAGATAGCCACACAAACCCAGATAACTAGTTACAACACTACCTAGATAGACTGATAGTGAGATATGCAGTTATCTAAACACCTAGATAAGGGGAAAGGGACTTATGGCATAGACGTATAGATATCTAGATGGGCAGAACAAAACACATGATGAAAATGTTAATAGATTTGTTATCACTTGGTGTTAAATATGCATATATTGCCAGATTTTATGAATTCTTTCTAAGCCAGAGGAGAGAGAAAGCTATTCTTTTTGATGAACTCTATAGCAAGTCTCTCTCTCCAAGTCACTGGAGCCCTGCCATGAAGACAGGAGCTAATTAAGAATATGGTGGAAATGAGCAGTAGGGAGGGTTCCTTAACCTTCTTTAAACACTTCATATTCTTCACAAAAAAAAAATTTCTTTTTTTAGATTGGACACAAGTGAGACCCTATCTCATCAAAGTTAACTACTTTTAAAAAAATTGTATAGCTAGCTAATTTCCCATAATTCCTGTATTTCCATGGAAATAGTAAAAAAAGATATATCCACACTCAATTTATTGCAAGTTTGTTGTTATATTTTAAAATAAGAAAGGGGTTTACTTTCTAATGATCCTCCTATTAGTCCTCATAGTACTAATAGGCTTTCTAATACTCTGAAATCAAGAATGGTTCATGGATTCAAGGCAATTTAGATCCCAGTCCTGACTCTTCTACTTCATCAGCCACTACTGTGCACAAGTTACTACTCTGGGTCACCATTTCTTCAAGGAAAACTTGGAATTAAAATAATTTCTTCCCTGTCTACATCATGGAACTATTTGAGGCTCAAATGTGATCAAATAACACCTCCTCCTATACTGCCATCACTGCCCCTACTGCCACTGCCACCCTTACTGCCAACCCCACCTCTGCTGCCAATTACAAATTCCTAGCCCCAAAATCATTTTATAGGCTATGCTAATGACTAGGTAGCTAATAAACACTAATGTCCCAAATCTTTCGGATTTTAACCACAAATCTTTTTATCTCCACTGCAGTGAGGAAGTCAATTCCTCAAAGTGAAAATGGGACTTGGGTTTAATTGCTGATAACCGTACATATAGCCCAGTTCTGGGATCTGTGGGAGAAGAGTTAATCATAACAAGACTCTAGTTCATTAGCACTGGCCCTGACTGGGCTCGTGTCAAGAGAAGACACTGCAGGCAAGAAGGTGAGTTTTACAAGGTCCCTGGGAATCACAGCAATTTGTTCCCAAGGAGTGAAAAAAAGGACTAGGGTGCTGAGGTCACCCTGAGAAGTTCTCCTGTGAACGGAAAATCTAACCAGAAGAGCTTCCTCCCCAATTCCAAGGTATTCCTGAGTAAGATGAATTTATTGCCAGAATGGCCCTGAGCAAAAAGCTCTGCTTCTTCCCTGTTCTGTCCTAGACTTTGCCAAAGTTAGGCTGGCAAAGAGACTTGAGGTGAATCAGAGAAAGCTTTTTTAAAAAAGAGGCAAAACAAAATAAAATAACAAAAGAATGAAATGACAATTCTTTCTCTGGAGTTAATGTAAACTTCAAGTGTAATATATTAGGGTCATGGTCTGTCAGCCAGAGTAGTTTCAGGAAGAAAATACCTATGTACTTTTTTTTTTTTAAAGTAAAGGTATTATAAAATTGGAGGACCCCAAATTAAAAGATTAGAAGTGACACAGCTAAACCCAGGTGACTGGCAATTATCACTCTGCTAATATGATACAGAAAGAGAAAAAAAAAACAGCATTTCTTTTCTCTAGTATAATCACCTCACATTGCTGCTTTCCCCAGGATGTCTCTGCATGTGTAAGCTGGTTAGGACAAAGACATCAGATGAAATCTCTCAGACATTTCATTTCATGTCTTTTATACAGAGAATCCATTTAACATTCACAGCACAGGGTTAGCCAAGACTTTTTACCCTTCAGTAACTGACTTGGTCCTCTTAATTTTAGGAATTCATGTGCCATGCATTACAGTTCTATTTATCTTTCTCTTACAATCTCTTGCTCACTCTCTTTCTTTTTTTGCTCAAAGGTAAAATGCAAGGAAACATTCAAAATATAATTGGCTACTTTTTTCTTTTCCAAGGGGAAGATTTTTTTCTTTAAAAACCCAGACCAGGCCCACCAAGCATATTGGATTGCTGTGTTACATACTGTGTTTTCCAGTCCATACCATGTGGGTTACGTGGTTCTCTGTTTTTAAACCCTTTCAGTCTCAGAAAGGCCATGCTATATACAAAGACAAGGAATTTTTATTTTGAAAAAAGTAATTTTCTAAACTCAGTCTCATTGCACCAATTATTTGAAGCCTCAATGTTATTTTGCACAAAGGAGGGCAATTCAATTTGAGCAGGGGAACTTGAGAGGGCGGTGGTGATATGCTGTTCAACGGACATCATCAGAAAGAGAGACCTATTCTTGGGGATTACAGTTACACTTACATTGTGCAGCTTGTAGTACAGCCCACAGGCATTGCAGACAGGGTCTCCGTTGGCATTTCTCCTCCAGAGGGTGGTAGTGGTAGTCTGACAGTTTGCACAGGACGTACCTGCTCTTCTTGCTGCCGACTAGGAGTTGAGGAGAGAGAGAAGAGGATAAAATCAAAACACTCATTAAATGTGTTTTCATAACTACAGAGACGGACTTAAAAAAAAGAAATTATCATTGAAATCAAAACTAGCAAGTGGCCCACATGAAAGTAGTAAAGATCCCCAAAAGCTGCCTCAAGAAGAAAAGTGTAGCCAATCCACTCACATAGGAGTGTATCAGACTGTACTACAGGGGTCAGAACTTAGCCTGCTGCTCTCCAGTGTAGGACGCAGGATCAGAAAGCTAGCGTCACCTCTGTGAGATAATTATCCCCCCACTTTTACCCCACAAAGTTCACCAGATGGTTAATTTTTATGGGTAGCAGCTTTGATTTAACCAGACTAATTTTGGTACCAAGCTTTCACAGTAGCCATATTTACTAGGCTAAGGCCTACAAGAGGTCTCTTTCAGGAAAACTTGCAAGAATATCCATTCTCGGGATATATTAACAGCAAAGGAAGAGCAAACCCAAGCATCAATGGCACTTTAGAGATCACACATAAAGAAATGCTAGATTATAAAGAGTGCAGAGTGCTAAGAGAACAATACATTAGCTCTCTAAGCGAATTATGTGTGGTGTATACTCATGGGTTGCATATAATTTAGAAAGTGCCAAGCTGGACATCCTAAGTCAACAAGAACCTGTCAGATTTGCAATGGTCCTAAATTTACACAGCACCCTTTAAACCTTGGTTACTTGTTGCTCACATGGGTGAAAGCCATCTTCTCTGTCTTTAGGTAGCTTTCGGTTAATGAGACAAACTGAGAAGAACAAGGAATTGTGCTATTCCTGTTCCCCTCTCATTTCATTCTCTTGTAATTAGGCATTTCCTACGTGCTGCTCACAGAGTAGAATAGCAGCAGGTCAAATGTCAGTCTCAACTTGGATTTTAATTCCTTGGTTGTGTCACTGCCTTCATTCTCCTTAAAAGGGAGGTTTTCTTTCACTTTTTGACACATTTTAAATTCATAAAGTGACTATTTTCTATGTCTATGCTGAAGAACAATAATAATAAAACTAAAACTTTTGAAAAAAGATGGAGTTGGGTAACTTCTAGCATACACCTCTCTCTCCTTGTCTCCCACCACAAAAAGAACATTTTAACTTGAAAATTATTCCTGCCCCTAGGTGCAAAAATATTATCACAGTAAAAGCAGGAGAAAGATAAAGAATTCAGTTAGTCTTTATCTGTGATCAAGAAAATTCTGGTATGGTTATAAAAACATGGAAGGGAAACTAGAGGGATGATGGTATGCTTTCTATCAAAACTTTATCAAGCAAAAAGTGGGGCCAGATATGGGAAACCCAGTGGCAATTTTGAATTAACTAGATTTATAGGTAATCAAAGCCACTTTCAAAGCCACTAAATTGTTCCACAGATATGCCCCAATAGGCTTTAAACATCAGAGCCATGACTTTTTCTTTTTTAGTCTTTATTCTCTGTTTTCTAAGGAATTAGAAATTAAAAACAGCCCTATCTATCAAATTGAGAAGCTTATAATTTTTTTGCTTTTTGAGACTAATTCACCACAGTCCACGAGTACTGATTTTAACTCCACATGCCTGTATGTCTACATGCCTTTGTGAAACAGGATCGTTTAATACTTACATACTTGTTCTGCTTGTGTGTTCTTGGGAAGAAGGTGCTACACTAAATCAGTGTTCAACAGTTTTGACAATTATGTTATTGTGTTATTATTATTATTGCCTTCTTATAGCTTTTCTTTTTCTTTAAATTCAAAGAAATAGTCAGGTATAGCAGACTAATACCAACTCAAAAAAAAAAAAACCAAACCCATTGCCATCGAGTTGATTCTAACTCATAGCGACCCTATAGGACAAAGTAGAACTACCCCATAGTTTCCAAGGAGCGCCTGGTAGATTCGAACCGCTGACCTTTTGGTTAGCAGCCGTAGCTCTTAACCAGTATGTCACCAGTGTTTCCAAATACCTACTCAGGCAGCTGGATTTCCCAGCCCAACAATTTTGAATATATAGTACAAGGACAGAATGCCAACTGGTAAAATAAGAGCTCTAAATGACGAGGCTCATTGTGGAGTTCTTTGCAGTATGCTGATAGTAACATAAATACAAGCAGGCTCAGAATATATCTCTGGTACCACAGACTTTATACTAATTTATACATAATCTCTAAAAGCCACACTATTTGGTTCACTAGCAGGAGGCAAAGTACATTAATAAAGCAAGTTGCTCGGTTTCTTGCTAGTTGTCAGACATTTGAAAATCCTGGTGATACTAAGAAAAAAAAATTCTATAGCTCTTCCCTTCGATTATTTCTTCCATTTCCTGAATTAGTTTATTCAGTGTTAGATACACAGCTTACAGAAGAGCTAGCCACATTATGGGCTGTGTTGTCTTCAGGAAATCTGCAAATAGGTAAAATAAAAATAGCTGATTGGAAAGATGGAGCGGGAGTAAAGGGACAAGAAATATAGGAAAGAAGAAAAAGAAAGGTTCTAGGTATTCAGAAGTCAAATGTTTCTAAGAGCTAAAAAAAATTGTGAAAATGCTCTGAGTGTGTCTCTGTAGTATATGATTTCTCTGGATCTAAAAATATAAAAGCACTCAGTAGAGATGATTAAAAAATAAAAGACAGCTTAAAATGTGACAGCAAATGAACTCTAGAATTAAAAGCAACTATTACTCAGAGTTCTAGAGATTTCTTAGGAAAGGTGAATGAAGACAAAATTATACAAAATGGAAGTAGAACCCTCTTTACTCTGCAAAGAGAGAAACTCCAAGAAAATGTCAAAAACACTCTTCTTTATCAATCAACCCATAGTTTGAGATTTTTACCTTCTCTCTTTTTCTTCCTTTACTTTTACCTTAAAAAAAAAAAAAAAACTATAATGATACTGTGACCTATTTTAACAAGAAGGTTTTTTGTTGTTAGTTTTCTTTTCTTTCTTTCTTTTTTTTTTTTTTTTACTAAGGCCAGGTTTTGAGTGATTCAGAACATTCTTTTGTGGTGTGATCATATTCATTCTGTGCTAACACCTCCAGCCTTTTTTTTTTTTTTTTCCCAAACACTTCTTGTTCTGATCCGTTCAAACATCTTGATGTTTAGGTTGGGGAAGCTGAGTTGTTGTTTATGAGTTATCTCCAGTACTCAGATATCCGGCAGCTTTTTCCTAGGAAGTTAGCTTTGCACATAAGAGAAAGGAAAAAAAAAAAACAAAAAAAAAAACACCAAACTGTATGAGGAGAAGTGGGGGAGGTTGAGAAAGTTGAAGGAGGGGGTAAAGATCAGAAAGGATAAAGCCCAGAGATCTAAGATTGCCAAAATTTTAAAGTCATGTGGGCACTTCCATCCCTAGAAAGTTTTTCCTTTCTCTAAAGAGGATGTGAAAGGTGTTGAGTTGCACTGAAATCTGATGGGAAGGACAAATAATTCTATAAAAAGAATACAGAGGTTTTTTGGTTGGTGTGTGTGTGTGTTTTCCCCTTAGAATTTGATGGATGCTAATTCACTCATTAGTCTGCTTGGGAAAATTCCCTTCCTCCCCTCTCTACTTGGTGAATGTCATCACCACAAAAAGCATTTTGATCTCTTGACGGTGGTTAAAGTTATCATTTGCCAAGCCTGCTTTTATTTGCCTCTGCTACATACACTCACTATTCAATCTAGCCAAAGACAAGTTTACAAATGAACCTCTCCTGCTAGTTTTCCTTATAAATGCTTGACAGTGCCAGGTTTTCTCAAGTATTCCAAGTGGTTCAAGATATTTAAGAAAGAAAAGCTATCACCCTACCGATAATAATTCAAGGGGAAAATCAGATCAAATACTAGGTGAGACCAAGAGGCAAGACAGGAATCACAAAAATTTTTCCCACAGGAATTACCTGTGAGAAGTCCTCAATTTCTATGACCAAAAAAAGAAGAAAAAGTCCATTAGGGTCAATGGCTGGCTGCTTCTGAAATCCAGTTAATTGCCCCATCAATCTTAAAGCACTGAGATTCATCCCCAGCACTGATACAGCACTGAGTCTGTGATCACTTCCTAGGACCCCACCTTCTGCTACTTCACGAACATGTTGTGAATGGTACTTAGGACATTCCATTCTCATACGAAATTTCTCTGTATATGAGGCAGTGGTTATCAATGCATTTTAAATCAATTGGCCTCATCCTGTTAATCACTCTATTAACGAATACATTTAAGAGTTGATAACCAAGAAGGCAGCATCCTTAAAAATTTGATGAGTTACTTAAAGAACATGGAGGAAAAAAGAGAGCTTTTCTGTATGTCTAACTTGAAAAGAGAAAACAAAATAAGACAGACCAAAAAAGCTCTCCCAAGCAAGCTGACATGATTTTGAGCTGTCCTGCCAATTTCCTGCAGAACGCTCTCCTTCCTGAAGAGAGGAAATTAAAAACACAAAATGGTTAGTGTTGGATCAGTGCTTCTCAAGGAGAACTCACCAGCCTTCGCTTGGGCTTAATGAGGGGTCGGTTCTGTCCATTCATTTTGTGGTAGAGCCCGCAGGCATTGCAAAGGTAGTGCCCCGTCCCATCTCTCCGCCACAGTGGGGTTGAGGTTGCCCCGCAGTTTACACACTCCCTGCCTTCTGGAAACAAGAGCATACATAAGTCACTTATGGAATGAAAACACAGAAAAGCTAACAGAGCTGAGATATAAAGTGTACAATAAAACTGAGAATTTTTTTGTTCCTTTTTCGGGGAACTTTTCTGCCTCCACCTCCTTTTAAGGTCCTCCAAAGTTGAAAACAGTAACTATATGTCCATTCATGGCATGACCATTCCCTGTATACATACAGCTCTCCTTCACAAAAGTAGCAGATAAATAAATAGCAACAGAATCTTGTTCTTGGCCTGCCTGGCTTGATGGGGAAGATCAAGCAGAGCCAAGGAGGAAGGCAAATTTCAACTTTAAATATTTCCCTGAGAAAATTCTGAGCCCTGGACGATGGCAAAAGCGAAACATTCCATGTTCATTTCCCTCAGAGGGGAAGAAAAGGAAAACAAAGGTGACCCATTATCATCACTAGGTCTGTCTACATAGCTTGATTAAATAATGAAGATTAGGATGAGGAAAAAGGAAAAATTAATCCATGGCTAGATAGGTAAACAGATAATAAATAGATACATAGATTGATCAATTGGTTAATTGATTTTAGTAGCTAGGCCTTTAATTTTACTTCCAATAAAACTGTAAATGTCCCTGCCTGGAAAGGAACAGATTAAGACCCAGCATGGTCCATTCATTCCTCATCATCTTTTTTCTCTCTGAAAAACACCAAAGTTTCCCATAGCTTTCCAGCTACTGTTACAAGGACTAAAGTTTAACTGTGACCCCAGCCTGCTGGCGGGACACCTAGTGCAAACTTCAGATAGGGAAACTGGAAAAGGTGGGGCAGGGGGAGGGAAGAGAGGGGTAAAGGCTGGGAGGAACAGAGTGAAGATCTGATGTAGATCAAGAGATGAAGCAAGTTAACCAAGGAGGAGGGGGAGGCTCTTGGTCGGCTCAGTAACCAAGGCCTGCCTGCAGTTGCTTTTTCCAAAAAGCATACAAACAAAATAAACAAAAAACCGGCCAGGCTGGGTTCGAGTAGCGTTCACTCCAGGGGCCGGAGAGTGACGCAGACCCACCTCCAGAAAGCTCCTGGGGAGAATCCCTTAAAATACCAACTTAGGACTCGGGGGAGTTTACTGATTTATTTTCAACTTTTGCGGGAGTAGGAAGAATTCTAGGAGAACCGTCTCTGCTTCTGTGGGGCCGGAGGGGATGAAGGCGGCTGACGCGTCTAGCTCTCCCGAATTCGGACACAGAGCCGTCCGGCTTCGCTGCCCAGGACCGAGCGGGGACCTCAGGCTGCCGCCTCGAGCCGCGGAGCCGCCTCCAGCCGCGGCTTCGCAGCCCCGACCCGACCCCTCCGCCCAGGCATGAGCGAAGGACTGAACTGAAGTCGTTCCCGAAGGGAGGAGGCCCGGGACAGGAAAGGGTGGGAGGCAGTGGAGAAAGATGAGCCCTAAAGGTTGTTTTGTTTTAAGAGATTAATCAATTAGCACCAATCTACCAGGAGCCCTGGTGGCTTGGGAATTTTGACTCACTAAAAAAGGAAGAAAAAGCTGGCTTGGCAGTCCTGGGGACGATTATGCCTTTGGAAACCCCCCAGACCACCTGTAACTGTGTGACTTTCTCCAGGGACACTTGTTCTGGGGGAAAGTAAAGGACTTTTGCAAATGGAAAAGGGTTTGCCCCCTTTTCCACTAAAATCAGTAAGGTGTTAAGTAGAATTTTTGTCTATTTTGCTTTTTCAAAAAAAATTGGAAGGAATTAAGGGAGATTTGTTCTTTTAACTTCAGATCAAAAAGGGTTCTTAAGCGGAGGTGCACAGAGAGCTTCAAGGTGTCCAAGTACCTTGCAATTACATAGTTTTTTTAAAACTCTTGTGCCTGTGTGCCAGCAGTACTTTCCTATGTACGTACCCAAGTGCTCCAAAAAGGCTTTGGACTGAATTACATTTGGGGTCAATGTAATCCAGACACTTTTCATTTAGGATCAAAAGTCTGAGAGATGTGGTAGAATGGAGGTGGGGGCAGCATGAAGGAGGGAGGGAGGGCGAGTGGGCAAGGAGGTACCAGCTGTAGCCTTAGCCATGAGGCAGGCAGGCCCTGCAGTTTATGTGCCCCAAGTGAGCAGTCAGTCAGTCCCATCTCAGGAGGTACAGCAACATTGACCCTGTCCTGGCCGGGGCTCCCAGGCCCACCTCTTATCCTGCCAAGACAGAGCCGCTCAGGTTCCCAGCCATTTTTTTCTTTTCCTAGTTGGGCACTGGACAGAAGGCCACGGGAGGCTTCACTGGCTCCTTGCTTACTCCTCCACCAGCAGCAGCAGCACAACTCAGGCCCGGGTTGTAGCTGTGGTGAGGAGGGTTGGGGGCTGCTGAGCATACCCCTGTTCCTAGGCACCCAGGGCACTGGGGGGGATCTCCCAGCCTGATGTGATTAGTCTGAGTTCCTCTCCTTTGTCAGGTGGTGAGGAGGATGACTGCTTCCTTTTCAGAGGGACCTTGAAAGCTAGCAACGGTTCCCTCTTCAGCAAGGTTCTGCACACTGGAGCAATTTTCTGTCTTGATTCACTTGGCAAGTTTGTGACGATTACCTTGTGTTGGATGTTGGGTTTTTTTTTTTTTTCCCCCTCCTTATTGCCTCTAGTCTGTGACTTCAGCAAACAACCAATTTTCTTAATGGAGGCCCTGACTCCTGCCTTCTTTTCTCTCCTTGCTCACTGCCTGGCGCGAGCTGCTCAGGCAGACACCTCTCTCTTAGGTGACAAGAACCACAGAGCTCTGAGGTCTCTTGACATTCAACAGTCATTTCCAAACACCCCTTTCACCTCTGGGTTTGGCCTTCTTACTGAAACCTTGAAACTGGGCTGGACAAAAGTGGGTAAGAGGGAGGGCAGGAGATTGTTAAGAGGAAGGTGGAGGAAGATGACCGTAGTCAAAAAGAGGTGGGGAGTTAAGAACTAGCCCTTTGCAAAAGGGGTTTGTCGTTTGTTTGCAAAGATACATCCCAGCACTGAAACCTTAGGCGTTAGAAAAGCAATAGGTGCCCTAACCACAGCTTCAACCGTTTTTCCAAAATGCTACCACTCTCTCTTCTCGTCTCCTCTGTCAGCAAATCCTTTGCAAAGAATAGGTTTTTATTAAAAAAAAAAAAAAAAAAAAAAAGCAACCACTAAAACCAAGAGAATCTCCTCCTCGAGAATTCCCACCACTTCCACCCTCTTCACACAGGTTTCTTGAAACTTCCCCTCCAAACTCCCACACTCCCTAAAGTCCCAGCTCCCTAGCTGGCCAGGTGCACTGCTTCTAGGTTTTTGTGACTGTGAGAAAGGGATAAGAGGGAGGGAGTAAAAAGCCAAATTTAGATTGCCATCCCCTTCCCCTCCCCCCCACCTCCAAAAAAAAAATAAAATAGGGGTATAGGTGTTCCTACTTCTGGGTTAGACAAACCATAGCTCTTTTTTCCCCTCAAAGTTCAGAGTCTTAAGGAAAGAGCTGAGAGAAAGGAAAATAACAAATTGAAGGCAGAGGTGTGCACAATAGAGAAGGAAAAATCAAACACGGAAATGTGGGCAAAGAAACCAGAGTCCTTTGGAAAAGTCACTCTGTCCCCTCCCCCCACACAAACCACTACACCAGCCTCAGATACCACGATCTTCCCCCAACCTTATACCTCTACCAGAAAAGAGAACTTTTTTAAAAAGTCCATTACTACCTCAAAATGCACAGGTTTCTCTTTACACCCAGCCCTCAAGCCCTGTTCTAATTCCTGTTTCTCTGAGTTAAAGTTGTACCCCATTCTCTCCAATCCTCCGCCTCCACCCCCATACCCAGCCCTTGACAAGGCAGTGGGGGCCACTTTCCTCCCGCCAGCTCTCCCTTCCTCTTGCTTTCTTTTTGACTCCGCCAGCTAGTCTACCTCTTTCTCTCTCTGTCTTTCTCTCTCTCTCCCTCCTGCCTACTTTCATGTACTGAACATGCAGGTCTGAGTTTTTCTGTCAGCCTAACCGCATCCGGACTCTATTAAAGTTCTTGGCGCGGGATAAACAATGCAACTGTCGCGTGCAGCAGTCTGAAAATAATTGGATTAGCTAAAACATATCAACTAAATAGAGACAGTCCTGCTCAGGCAGTCGGAGTAAATGTCACCCTGGAAAAAACCCTGAAAACTGATCTCATGGTCACTGGGCTCCCAGAGTCCTACCTCAGATGTTTTTTTTGAAACCGGGGCTTTGGAAGCTCTGCTTCAAGACACTTCACCCACAAAAGACAACTGATGTTCACTATTTCTCTTTATACAGAATCTATATAGCTAGAGAGCATTGGCAAGAGAGTTGGAGTAGACCAAAGCAGAGATGCCCACCCTGATATGGACAAACATAAGGGGACACCACAATAGTCACTAAAATAATATCTACAATACATAGTTAAATCTTCTCTCAGAGAATCCCTAACTCTCTGATTCTATTGCTTTTGTTAGAAGTAAAATGGATGACGGATTATTTTATCTTTAAAGCAAATTGACCTTAGCTAAACTAGTATTTGGTGTGGAGTATTTTTGTTTTTTTTTTTTTAAATGCAAGTGACTACATTGGTAAAGTATGCAGTGTGCTTCCAGACAGGGTTTGCTTCTTGAAAGAGAGGAAGCAGAAGTACACACCTGAAGAATCTTTTTCAGTCCTTTCCATCTCCTCTGGCTGGAGATCGGTTGAGGACTGTGCCCTAGACACCTCCCTGCCCTGCCTGTGCTGAGAGAGCACTAGAAGAGACTGTACATAACTGGGCCACTGGACACTTGATTCCAGTTCACTTGTGTTTCTCCACTGCAGAGCCCACATTTTTCTCCTAGAAGTTAGGATAGGAGCCCCCTTTCCCATTCAAAAATAAAAAAATGTGTGTGCTGCTTTTGCCTGGTTCCTGCCCCCAGCCCTCCCCCCCACAAAAAAAATATATATACATATACACACATGCTTTATTTGTCCATGTCTATATAAAAGCCTGCCCTCTACTATTGACTGCGTGACCCCCTTTGAGCTAAGCAGGAGAGGAACAGCCAGACTGACAGAGAGGCCAGCGGGGTCAAAGGAGGGACCTGTGTTTGTTTAGGTTTGAGGAGGTTTCGTTTTAGCATTAAACACTAAAGATTTATTCCCTCCGCCTTCCATTTGGTCTTAGAAACGGACTAAGGTTACTGGCAGCACCCAGAAGTTCTGCAACATGAAGGAGAGAGTAGTACACTTTGTTTTTGTTTGTCTTTTCCCTTCCCAGTTCATTGGGGGGGTTGGTTAAACTAGATCCCATTTCCCCTAGCTTCCTAGGGTAAGAATGAGAGGACACACCTTTCTTCCTTGGCTGGAAGAATGGGAAGAAATCAAATCTCAAAAGAGTTGGGAACACCAGCTAGCTCCCCTGAGGTGCCCGACTGCTGGCTCTCTTTTCCCTGCCCTGGATTAAGCACAAGGGAGAGGCAGGCGGAAAAGAATCCCACCCAGGGGACAGAAGGGTCCTACCTGTGCTGGATCTCGCCTTGGGCCTCGACTTGCATCCGAACCCGGTGGGCGAGCCTCCCAGCAGGGTGCTGGGAGGGAAGAGTCCGGAGCTGTATTCCGGGACGTAGGGTGGGTAGGTAGTGATGGGGTGGTGGGCTGAGGAGGAAGCCCCTCCCAGAGTAGTCATGCTGCCGCGGGAGTGCGACGACTCGAGCTTCATGCTGTCCGGCAGGGACACCTGGTACTTAATGCACTCTTTCTCATCCTGCCGGGCAGAGCCGGCGGAGCCCGGTGTGGACAAGGACGGGTCCGGGGAGACGTCCTTCGGCGGGGTGGGCGGGAAGGTGAAGAGGTGAGGGCTGGAATGGCCCGCCGACAGGGAGGAGGATGAGGCCGGGGGATAGACCGAGAGGGGCCCCGGGGAGCCGTGGTGGATGGATGTCTTGGAGAAGGGACTGAGGTTCCAGGGTGAAGCACTGTGGTGGCTGCCCAGGGCTTTGCCGCCATCCAGCCAGGGCAGGGATCCGTGCAGCAGTGGAGGGCGGCACACCTGGCTCCCTGCAGTGAGCAACGGGAGAAGAAGCAGGAGAAAGAGATTCGGGTTGAAAGCAGCCCTGTGAGGCCCTCAGACACACCTGGGGATTCTCCCTCTCCACCCCAGCCTTAACGAAATCCTCCAACACAGACAGGGACCAGGGCTCAAGCCCACTGTCTAATCCGGGTGGTCTCAGGAGTACCTTGGCCAGCACATCTTGGGGTAGAGGGGAGACTGTTCAGCCCTCTCTCGATGCAAGTGTCCCATCAAAGATGGGGGGGGGGGAATTAAGGGACTGTGTCTGACAAGGAAGAGGTGCTGAGAAGGCGTAGAGAAGGGGCCCTTGGCTTATTTGGCCTCTCCAGATACACTTTCTAAATCACATTCCCTCAGGTCCCTTTTCCAGAACCTGACTTGATTTATTGGTCTCCTTCAATGGCCCAGAGTCCCCCATCCCAGACTTAATCCCAACCAGCCAGATAAGAGTCGGCTGTGAATGATGAGACTGAAGGAGTGAGCCTGGGCGGAACAACTGCTTAACACAGGGATAACATATCCACCCTTGATAGAGGCCCTGGCAGCAGTGCCCAGCTCCAAATGCTGAGAGGCCAGGAAGGAGAATGCTTGGAGAGGAGAGAGGGCACATTTTAGGGTTATTTCCAAGTAAACCTAATTCAGTGCTTGCTCTTAATCACCAAGGCTGCTTCCAAAAGGCCTGAAATGGGATTTGCAAGGAAATTTTAATTGTTCAGGCTGCTAGAGAATCTTTCCAAGGCTGGAGCCTGGCATGGAAGTTTTTTCTGCTTTTCTCATCCTCCCAAATCCTACTGGGGAAGAAAATAAAATAAGCTCCATATGCCCTCAAAGCTGTGATTCCAACAGTGCAATACGTGAATTTTCAACTGAGCCCCTGAGATACACAATTCCAGTTTATGTATTTTAAACCAATGATGACTCCTACAGAGTACATTTAGCATTTATTTAAAATACACAAATATAAGATAGCTACACCTCATACAAGTCCATACTTGTACCCCTCTGAGAGGGGTAAATTTGAACTCCAAGTAGTGCAAATCCACATGTTATTGATCTTCTAATCCAGTACCTGCATCAGCATTTGACATTCTATTTAACTATTAAGAACAATACTGAAACTAAAAATCTTAAGAGGGAGGAAGGGGAGGGGAGTTAAGGGGGAAGGAGAGTTCTCTGAACATGAAGGGTCAAGATTCATATTATGCAGGAAGTAGTATAGTAAATAATAGCAAGTCTGCATTTACCACATTTCAACTTAACTGCTGATCTGCACAGAATAAGGGCAAAGAGTGCCCCATCCTCAGAAACCGATTGTTTAAAACCTAGTGACAGCAGAGCGGAGGAGGCCTGCTGCCGGAGGGGCTCTGTCATCAGTGCCGCGGACTCTCTGAGTAGGGGGATGTAGGCCGACCCACGGTCTGGCTGGACCGAGAGCGCCTCACATTTTCTCTGCCTGAAACTGTCCTATTTCTTCTTTAGGAACAAACTTAAAGCTGAAAAGTGTTGGAGATTTTTTGCTCACTCCATAGGGCTGGGTTTCTTTTTTACATTTCAGAACCCTCCTAAACTTCCCAAGGTGAAAGGGAAAAAGAAAAAAAAAGGCAACTGGAATCGCTCCTACTTAAAAAGAAACACTGATGAATCCTAAATCCTCTGTGGGGGCCTAGTGGGGCTGTTGTAGGCCGGAGGAGAGTAACGCTAGAGTTGCAAGGAGCCGGCAATGAGGTAACCTAAAAGCAAAGATGCAGGAAATTCTGTACAGCCGGCAATCTAATCTCTCAAATTTAAGACAGTTGCACTTTCCACTAAAACCCCTTTAAGCACCAGAATCCCATTTCTCGAAGCCAAAAGGTAGGAGACCTGCCTAGAAACCAAATGCACTAGCTTTGGGGAAAGGTCAAAAGACAGCGGTGTGAATCAAAACGCTTCTCGGGCCTTTCTAGAAATTTGTCCAAGAAACAAACTCAGGAACGCTGGCAGAAGCCCCCCCCCCCCCGAAAGAAGTGCGGGAATCAGGGAGAGCGAAGCCCCTTGGAAGAACCATGCCCGGGCCGGGCTTGACCGGCGCCGGCTGCCGGGCCTGGGGAGCCTCTGCTGGCGGAGGCAGAGCCTCAGAGATACCAGCGCCTGAGACTTGGGGGGCCCTGAGCCTGCGGCCGCGAGGTCGAAAGGACTGCAGCACCGCGCCCGCCAGGTAGCCTCTGGCCAAAGAGACAGGAGCCGCGGAAACGCGCCTGCTGCAACTCTTTTTAAAAATACTCTCTCGGCAATCGAAGCGGCTTCCTCGCCCATTTCCGGGCCCCAATTGTTTTAAAAGAGCCAGTAACGGCACTTGGGGGCTTTCGCTTAGTCTCTCCACCCCCTGACCTTCCCTGCCTCCCCGACCCGAGAGGGTGGGGACGGCTCGGCGCTGGTCTCCGTACCAGCCGCGGACTCACCGTGGTGGGTCGGAGGGTACCTCTGCACTGTGGCCCTCACCGAGTTTCCGTAGTAGGACGGGACGTGGTTTCCTTGGCCGTCGATGTTAAAAAGTACATCCACCTCCTCCGGCAGAGGGTACTGTGCCGGGTCCATGTAGGAGTGGCCGAGGCCCGGGTGGTGCGTGTCCGGGTGCTGCCCGTTGAGCACTGCGGGGTGGTGGTGGCTCACCCAGCGCGGCTGATCCGCAGTCACCTCCATGGCCTCGGCCTGCGCTCGCGCCCTCTCGCCCGGCCCGGAACCCGCGCGCGGAGAGGGAGGGCGGTCGGGCTGGGAGGTTGCTGTGCTTGGAGGCTTTGCAGGTGCTACTGTCGTCGGATGGGTGAGGTAGTCTTTGAATTATTTGTTTTCAGTGGAGAAGTGGGGAATGGGAAAGTTGGGAAGGTAAGGTGAAGAAATGAGATTTTCTTAAGTCTTTTAGGGATAGTTTACAAAGAAGGGGAAGAAAAAAATAAATTCGAAAAAAAAAAAAGGATTCGGAAGAATAAAGGGGACCGATTTGCAAAAGGAGGTGAGGATGGTTTGAATTTTCTGCAAGTCAGGCTTCTCTGCACGTTGTGTCCTCAGCGGTTCCGACACTGAGCTACTTTCTCCTCGGGTCACCTGTAATGGAAAGAAGGGGGAGACCTGGATGAACTGGTAAGTACTTTAGCACCTGAGTTTATGAAGTGGCACCACCTCCCCTCGAGCCGGGCCTTGGGGCACGCTCGCCTCCCCCGCGCCCGGCCGGTCGCCCGTGCACCTGGCGGCGCCGCGGGACACCGACACACGCACCCACACGCACACACCTCCTCTGCAGTTCGGAAAACGGGGACACAGCCCGAGAGGCAAAAAGACTCCCAACTACATCCCAAGCAGCCTGGCCCTCTGGAGCCCAAGACTGAGCAGTTCAGCTTGGAGAACAACTCCCCCCTCCCTCCCTCCAGGGGCACAGGTCCCAGGACCTTCCAGCCGGTAGAAACCCTCCAAGAGAGGAGAGTTCGATTTAAAAAATTTTAAAGTCCTCCCAAGTGCAGTAAAACAATGACTTTTTTAAAAAGTCGCCAGTACCAACCTGGATAGCGAGGAGCAGAGAGGAGGAGAAGGCGTGTGACCTGAGAGCAGTAACTGCTCGGTCAGATTGCTTGGCTCGCTCTGTCTCGTCCTCTCTCAGTCTCTCTCTCTTTTCCTCTCTCCCTCTCTCAGTATTTTTTTTTTTTTTTTTTTTTTTTTTTTACAGGGAATGCATTCTTTCTGAAAGTATCAAGACGGCGCCAGGCAGCTCAGTGTTCGCAGACAGCTGTGGCGCGACGCAACTTAAGGAGGTTCTAGTGTCATCCGCGCCGAGGGGGGAGGAGCCTGGCGCTGGTGAGGAGGGGACAGGATCCCCAGCACAAGGAAACTGCAACCCAAACCCGCTCCAGGACTTCACCGCCCCCCGCCCCTACGCCCTCCCCTCCACTGACCGGAAAGGGGCGCCGCGGAGGGCGGCCGCTGGCGGAGAGGGTGGGCGAGGCCCGCGGAGGTTTGGGGCAGAGGGGACGGACGAGAGGGAATTCGCGCTCTGGCCCTTTAAATGTGGCTCCGGCTCCTGCCAATTCATTCGGGCTCGTTAGATTATTTCGTCCCAGTGAAACCGGTCTGCCCCATTCATAAAGTTAATTTCTACGGGCGGACTTTCTCCCACCCCACCCCCCAAGACTTTTTCATGGGCAAAAAATGCTTTTATTCAATCCAGGGTATTTGGGAGAGTTTATTTATTTGGGGATACGTGCACGTAAAACTGATGAGGAAAAAAATGTTTAATGTCAAGGTTCTTTGAGACTTGCCCCTTGTGCAAATTTCCTAAAAGACTGAGGACTCAGGCGAAGGAGTACGCCTTTGATCAGAATGTCCGCGTTACTTTTGTTAACATTTTCCCCAGCTCTTTGCTTTAACAAGACTCTCAAATGAATATGATGCAGCTGTTGCAACTGTCCTCTCTAGATCTAATATTTGTAATCAGTGTTTGCTTTTGATTTGAGTGACAAGTGATGGATGAAAAGGAGGGAAGGAGGAAGAGAGAGTGAGAGAGAAGAGAAAGAAAGACTAACTAGTTCTCTAGGTATAGGGTAAATGGAAGTAACTCTGGTCTTTACTCCAGTTACCGAACTTTTCCTGTCAGACCCTTCACGCCCGCCCGGAGTCTTACTTACTCCGGCTCTCCGCGTTTCTCCTCCACCCAGGGAAACTACCCCACTCCCCCGACCCAAGCCCCCGGCCGCCAGGACAGGACTCAGCAGCGACCTTTCCCCAGACTCAGCCGACTTCAGGAGAAACTCTGCCGAGTCCGGCCGCCCGGGGCTGAGAGAGCGAGGCTCCGAGACCTTACGGCGATAGAGGCGGGACGGGACGGGGCGGGGCAAGGAAAAGGGGCCAATCACCGAGCGAGGCTGCGGCTGGGCCGCGATTGGCCGGCTCCGCGGGTTCGAAGCTCCTTGGCCTCCCTCGGTCCTTTGAGCCACTGCATCCCCTAGCGGTGCTGAGGCTCCTGCAGCTGCCGGGCCTGAAAACCCGTGCGGGCTGGGGTCAGGCGGGAAAAGAAGACTCAAGTTCCACCCTCTACTCACCCTAAGGAAATGCGTGCAAGGAGAGAGTATAGGTTCTCCCGCAGGCATTCTCAGAGCAAAGAGCTTGCTTTAGGGTCTTATTTGTTTTTAAAGCTCTAAAGATCAAACTGAAGACACTGTTTTCTCTTCGTCCCTCTACCCCATAAAATTCCCTACAAACACAAAAAGTAGAAATAGAAGATATTATCCCTAAAAATAATTCGGGGAATGTGGGGTGGCTTATTTTTAAACGCAATACTTGTAGAAAGAGTCATACAATTTATTTGGAGGAAGCAGTGGAAGTGCAGGTCCTTCCGATCTTGGATTTGGAGCTTTCTTGAGTCCCATCTTCTTAAATCTGTTGTTTGTTTGAAAGCAGAGTTGAATTTCTAGGTGTAGAGCAGGAAGAAAATCCCTAAATTAAATTCCCCGCCTGTTTCTCCTGAGCCCAGTTGGTCTCTCGTTTATTAACGCGGCCCAGTAAAGGAACATCGATTTTCCTTTCACTCTTTGACCACTCTTCTCTCTAGGGCCAGTCTCCTCCTGCTCACGGCGCTCTCCAAACCTTTTAATTATTTAGTTTCCATCTAATATTCACGGAAAAGCATAAACAAGGGGAGAGGAACGCACACACATTTTTGCTAAGAGTCCCGGGATTAAGATTAAGAATGGAAGCAGAAAGAAAAAAATTAAAAATACTTCGCGCGTTATTCCAGAACGTAGATACGCTAGTCTGACCCTAGTTTACAGCCACGTGGAAAATCCCCAGCCTGGCTATTTGGTCCTCCGTGAGAAGACCTGGGAACCAAGGAAAGGGTAAAGGGGGAGCCGAGCTAGAGAGAGAAAAGCTGCGGAGGATAGGACTTGAAAATGTTAACTTTTTAACATTTTAAGACTAAGAACTATTTTAAAAGACAAAAGAAAACATTTGTGAGAAGGTGGCCCTCCGGGGTAGGGGTGCCTCTCAGATATCTTTAGTAGTAGAGAGGGGGGAGTATTCGTTTTAATTAAATCACAAGCACCGAGTCGGGCTGCACTAGGATGGAGAAGTCACCCCCCTCTTGGAAAATAAAAAATCTTGAAGGCCCCGCTTGGTCTGGGTGGTTTGGAGCTGGCAGAGAGGGGTGGGGGGCCTGGGGCTGGATGCCCGGTGTAATGGAGCCAGCCTGTAGGGGGTATTTAACATTTAATTCCCAGCCGGTCCGCCCCTGTTCCCGGACTGACAGTGGGTAATTGGGAAAGAGGACGTTGCTCTTTTGATGGCCCGCGCCGGCCAGTCTCGCCGACGCCACACTGGGTTTGACGTCACGGGCCCAGCCCCAGAGCCAGGAGCACAGAGCAGGGGGGAGGGAAAAAGAGGGGAGGGGGATACCGGGGAGGGAGGGCCGAGGTCGGCCCCGGAACCGACGGGGAAAGAAGGGGGAAGGGAGCGAGGCCGAAAAGAGGCTGAGGCGAGTGGCCTGAGGCGGAGAGCCGGGCTGTGGGGGTCTGGGCCAGGCCAGGCGCCGGCCTGACCCGCCTAGCTGGCAAATGCAAGCCGGGCTTCCTCCTCCGAGGGTGGGCGGGGGGAGGGGGAGGGAGCTCGAGGCCGGGGAGAAGGGGGGAAAGGTGGTCCACATCCTCCCTTTCCCGTAGCCCGCAAAGCTGATTCTGTCCTCCTGCGGAGACGCCTCAGTGTCCTCCTGCAGACCTGACGACCCCTTCTCCCCAGGCAACCTGTCTCTGGCCTATTCTAGCGAGTCTCCCTTCCTCCTCAGGAGCAGTCGGCGGAGCTCCGGTGGAGGACCCGAGGAGGAGACAACGGAGGATGCTTCCGCCGCCGGCACGGGGCCCTGGGCTCCTGTAGGGCGAGAGGCCTCTCTCACCAGGGTAAGGGGCTGGCAAACGCATGGTCGCCTGGGACCCTGGGGGCAAACATCTGGGAGACCAGCAGGCGACAGCGTAGCCTTCACTCCCCGAGGAGCCAGGTCTTGGTGCTGCTCTTGGGGCAGCAGGAGCCAGTGTGGCCTATCTTAAAGCCCAGGCCTCGAGGCTGCTGCTTTAGGCGTCAAGTTGAGCGGGGTATGTGTGCCCTCTTGGGGAAAGGGTAAGGAATAGAGTTTTACTTTCTCTCTTTGGTTGGTGTAAGGGGACCACACACACACGCACACACATATACACACACATATACAGGCCCATGTATAGGTCCCTCCCACCCGCCCTCCTGGGGGCGCAGAGACCTGTCCTGGGTGGAAGTGGGGAATCCAGTTCCGCATAAACCTGAGCCATGGCGCAGAGGAGAAGTGCGGGCCCCCCAGGCTCACCCCTTGGGTCGCAAGACCGGGAGAGCGGAGATCCACGCGGCCACCGACACCCACCCGAGCCTGGCGACGGGCGCGTCAAGGCGAGCTCCGCGGGGCCGAGGTGCCAGGAGAAGCGGCCCCGGGCGCCCGCGCGACGCCCGCTGAGGGTAACAAGAAAAGCCGAGCCTCGGGGTCGAAGTCATAAAGTTACTAATCCCGCGCTGGGGCAGTGAGCGTGCCTCGGGCCGCCTTGGGCGGTCATTTGAGCGTGTTTACTTAAGGACTTTGCAAGCCGAGCGCGCGAGAAATAGTCGGATTTCCAGCGAGGCAGCAAATATTTGCAGGCGGGAGAAATAAGCGGAGCCGGGCCGCGCCGCCGCGTCCCTCCCCCCGGAGCCGCGGCGCCGGCCTGGGCGGACCCAGCAGCGCTGTTAAAGACAGAAATGAACCCGGGAACCTGCGGGGCTGGGGGCAGGGAGGGCGCGGAGGGAGACCAAAGGCCAGAAACCGGAGGACGGCACCGAGACCCTGGCGAGCTGGGGCTGGGGGAGGAGAAATCCCTTTCCATTCTAGCTCGATCAGTCTTCCTGTGCTGCAGTCGGTCAATAAAAATGGTGTGAACTGTCCGCTGCTGCGAGATGTCTGGGGAGGAAGTTGAGGCCAGAGGTGCGGAGGCCGGCGCCGGCGCCCCGCACAAGCCGGATTCGTTGCATGGCGGTCTGAAAGCCCCCGGCCGGGGTCCAGTTTGTCGCTGGGAGCCATGCCAAGCGCGATCCGGCATTTAATTGTGTGTCTCTAATAGTGGCCATTGTTGCAGCAATTAGGGAGAGACAATAACCGCCGAGAGGCGTTTAATTCGATTCGGCGCGCGGGCTGTGGCCTCAGCGAGGGCGGTCTGAGAAGACCGGTGGAGGCTGGCTGGTAAAGGAAGTTCTTGTTAGGTGTCGCGGCTCCCTTCCTTGCCCGTATTTTTTTCCCCCTTAGGTGTGCGAGTGTATGTTTGGATGAGTTCTGATGGGGCCACTGACACAAGTTGAAAGCGAGGCAAGAGCTAGCTGTGCTAGACCAGGAATTGGAAATCCGTCCCTCCGGAGTCTCGCCGGGCGCCACCAGGACCGCCGCGGCTGCTGCAAGCGCGTGCCGGAGCTGCGGTCGCCGCGCGAGTTTCCAGCGCGTGTTTGAGAGAGAAACCAGGAGGCCTGGGACACGGAAACCGGCCTCCTTCCTTTTTCGCTCCGGGTCCCCCACTTCGGTCACCCGAACCGTGTCCGAATTTCACTCCACATCAAGAGAGGAGGGGCAAAGAGAGAAACCCGGTTCTGGAGCGTACACAC